CCAAGTGGTTTTACTGGAGGTAGTTGTGAGCCACAAGAGCTGAAGGGAGAGGGTTTCCCTGAGCTGCCGGGTACTTGAGAAATGACCTTCGAATAGGAGTGGCATCTGAAGACGGCAGCAATCCAGCGGCGTGCGCTAAGCGGGCTCTGGATGCAAATTCAGTGACGTTCGGTCCTTGCGTTGCCAACTTCCCGGTGGGTTTTTTGGTGGGGAGTCACTTGTTGGAGGCCGGAGCTGTAGGAATGTGCGGTGCAAGGACGAGGTGATGCCTTCTGAGCTGCTGTGTGCTTAATGTGCCCTGCTGTCACGTGGAGGGTAATTACCTCCTCTAATGAGCATTATTGCTCCTGGAAGCTGCAACCAAGAGCTATCTCCGCTAATAAGTCATTAATACTTACTCCATTAATTCCACCCGGAGTCTGAGAAGATGACACGTGGAAACATGTTGATGAGATATTAGCCTACTCGCTAATAAGCAAAACAAAAGCACAATTAGCGAGGCCAGACGGAGCCTGGAAATGGTGATGAAAGCAGCCTGCCGGCTCTCCGGTGAGGACGAGGCAGGAGACCTGGAAGAGGGATCGCGTCATCCCGCGGTGCTGCTGCCAGGCTCTGCTGCTGCCTGAAAGGCCGAGGGAATGGGATGTTCTGCAGGGAGCTATGTGAAGTATTTTTTTTGTATATAAATAAAGTGTCTCTGAGATGAAATTGAGCCAAAGGGGGGAGGTGGGAAGCCTTTGGGGAAAAATGGGGGTTGGCTATTTTTGTAAATAAAACAAGCTTGGGGCAGAGACTTTTCCTCATCTTTTTTTAAAAAGAGAATTAAAAAAGAAAGTCTTTTTTTTTTTTTAATGACATGTCATGGCTGGTGTTTCTTTTTCCCTTCTTCCCTGCCATAGCAGTGCGGGAGGACAGAAATCCCTGGTTAAGCTGGAGGGTCTGAGGTGGGAAGAGGAGAGGGGTGTTTGCAGCCGTCGCCTTGAACACAGGCCTCCTCCCTTTCAGGGCATCATCCCCTGTAAAAAAGTGCTTTTTCTACTTGGCCGCTGCAGCTGTTGGGGTTTGTTTTTTTTTTTTTCCGCTTTCGCTTT